ATATATATATATATATATATATATATAGGGTATATTTCAAATACAACCCACCCTATTCTTACAACCAATACAACCTTTTTCCAACCAATCAATGAATTTCTTTTTTTAATTAGTTTTTAATTGAAAGGAATATGTCATTTACTAAATTTAGATTATTATAAGTATTTTTAATTAAAAATAAATAATATTCTATTTATGGTGATTCATTCATCAGTTATGGAAATGGAATCATAAATTAAACAAAATGATTTGGCATAAGTTATGGAATCGCATTAGTGTTTCATAACTTAAACATTGGTGGTCAATTTCATAAGATTGGAATTGAATAGTTTTATAGTTTCTTCAGCAGCTTTATAGAACCCAGTATTAAAATTATGGATTATATGTCATTCAACGAGACTTTCAGTAAGGATATCACCGAAGAAAGCAGTGTTTTCGATTTCATGAACGACTGTCAAGGTTTTGATTATGATGATGAAAATGCAACCGCAGTTAACGATGAAAAAATAGAAGATCAACACAATTATTCAATGAGGAATGAAGATGGCTGTAACGATCGAAACGAAATATTAAGTGAGCACAACGACGGAGTTTTTGTAGATTTTGTCGATGATGAAGTTGCATCATTGAGCAATAAAGCTGAAGGTATTGGTTTGCTTTCAATGTTGTAGGTTGGCTTTGAGAATACACAATAGTCGATGATGATGTTATTGATGCACACCTCTCGTATTTGTTATTGTTGCTGCTGTTTACAAGAACGCGAAAGAATTAATTTTGCTGTCTAATGAAAACTGTTTCAGAAGTTTTATAAGTTGATGAAACGTGTTTGAGTAGTGTAAAAGAACATGATTTGAAGCAGTGATTATCGCATTTTAAGTTATATAAACGTTTATGAGTCCTGTTTCATATGCTTCATATGCAATGTAAAAGAACATGAGTAGTGTATATAAGAACATGAGTAGTGTAAAAGAACATGTTTCATATGCAATGTAACATGCTGTTAATGAATCTATATGTTTCATTAGTTGGAAAGATGGAACGAAGACATTCGTTACTTTTATGGACCAACTGTAATTTAGTAATTGAAAAAGTTTTGATTTGTTTGATTTTGTAGATTATCGATCTGATGGCATGGCGGAAACGAACGATGGGTCGAAATGTTGGTTTCCCAATGTAGACGCATAATATAAGCCGAGGTGGGTGATGAATTTGAGACTGTAGAATCGGCTGAGAAAATGTACCGGAAGTATGCTAATGAAGTTGGGTTTGATGTACGTTTATCTAACAAGAAGATAAATAAGATTGGTCGTATCACGTCTCGATTTTATGTGTGTAGTAAGGAAGGAAGGCCACCAAATAAGTATTTTGATTCCTTAGATGTTCTTCCAGATGATCGCAGGATCCGCAATTCAAATGTAAAGCATTCTGGTTGTGGAGCATGTTTCAAGATTCATTATGTTAAAGAACGGAGACAATATGAAGTTTACAAATTCATTGAGTAACACAATCACATGCTTTTTAATAAGGAGGAGATGAGGTTTTCACGTTCTAAAAGGCAACTACATTACGTTTATCACAAAAATGTATTTCATGGTTCTAGTTCGAAGGTTGGTGTCACCAAATCTCATAGATTTAGGAAAGCAATTACGGGTGGTGTAGATTGCTCGGGTGGCACCGGAAGAGATCATCAAAGGTTCAAACGCGATATGGCTTATTTTGTTGGCAATAAAGACGCGCAAATGTTGTTAAATGTGATGTCTAATAGGAGGAAGGTGTGTCCCTAGTTTTTTTTTCCGAGTACAAATGTGATGATAAGGAGTTGTTAGCGATTTTCTGGGCTGATGAAACTGTGCGATCAAATTATAGGGAATTTGGTGATGCAATATCATTTGATGCAACGTTTAGGACGAATAAGTAAGTTACAACTGATATGAATCTATTTGTTTTGTGTTATCTATATTACATGCTATAGCTTGTATTAATTTATAATGTTTAATTTTAATAGGCATGCCATGATATTTGTTCTGTTTGTTGCAATTGATAATCATAAGAAATTTGTCGTTGTTGGAGCTACTTTGATTCACAATGAATTTGTGGTTGATTACACTTGGGTATTGAAAGCTTTTGTAAAAGCTCATGGACGTCAACCAYGTTTTGTGATYACTGACCAATGTGCGTCGATGAAACAAGCAATTCTCATTGCATTTCCTGAATCCAAGCATCGATTGTGTATGTGGCATATCACTAAAAAACTCAAATCTAAGGTAATTACGATGAAACTTTTTTGTTTTCGTTTTTTTTTCATTTTTTTAAGTTTTTCTTCTAATTGTGTATGTGGCAGATCAATAATTACCTCCAACATCGTACGCTGTTTGTTAGCGAATTTAATAAGTTAGTGTGGAATGTTCACCTTGCCCCTGATGAATTTGAGATGAAATGGCTCAACATGATGGATTTGTATGGATTACGTGGAGACTCATGGTTTGATGAACTGTATGAGATTAGGGAGTCATGGATTTCGGCTTATTATAAGGATTATCATATGTCCGGTCTAATGAAAACAACATCCAGGTCGGAGAGTATTAATGCTTTTTTAATGTTTATGCATATTTTTTGCACGATCTTGTCATTTTTCTTCGTTCTTTTGATAATGCAATTGAAAGGCAATGGACGACACATGGGTCACTAGAGGTGACAACGAAGAGCACGGTTCCTCGATTGGTGTCTCCTTGCAAATTAGAAGTTCATGCAGCAGAAGTATATACACGGACAATATTTTTTGAAGTTCAGAAAGAGTTAAGAAAGGCTGTTTGGCTTTGTGGATGGGATGGATTCATTGACGTTGGTGAAACCCGAGTGTACACAATAACACACAAGAACAAAGCTTCTAAGATCACCACAAAGTACACGGTAGTTATTTCTTAATTTTCCAATTTTGCCAAACAGTTCAAATAGTAGAATCCTTAATGCAACTTCCTAATATGATATGGTTTCTCATTTGATAGGTTGTCAAGAACAAGATGGAAAACTCGTATGATTGCTCATGTAACTGTTTTGTTCGTAACGGGATTTTATGTCGTCACGCTTTCAAAGTGATGTTAAATGACGAGGTTGATAGAGTTCTAGATAAGTATATACTTCGTCGTTGGAGACGCGATCTAGTGCCGATGGAGTGGTTACTATCACGTTTCAGATATGGGGAAGTTGACACTGATAAGGAGAGGTTGATGAGTATTGCTTATTCGTATTTTGAACGTATTCTAGGTCGAGTGCGAAATGAGAAACATATTTTGTCAAAATTTGTTGACCAACTTCAAGAATGGGATACAAAGATTGATAGTGAACTTCCTATACAGTTACACGCTCAAGAGACAACAACATCTATTAAAGAGTTTATTGGAGTATCTCAACCCGAAAATATTGACGTTCTACCTCCAACCAGCATAAGAAATAAAGGTTGTGGGATTGGTAAGAGACTTATTAGCGCTGCCGAGAAAGCAATTGCGAATGGCAAAAAGCAGAAGAGAAAGTGTCGGTTATGTCGTCAAATGGCTACACATGATTCGAGGAATTGTCCAAAACGTGATTCCACTTAAATTATGCCTTTTAATTTTTGGTGACATTTCATTTCAACACGTTATAGGATTATATTATTGTGTTTTAGTTAAATATACTACATTGTTTAAACTGGTTTCATCAAATTATTAGTGAATCTCTAATTTTTTAATAAAGTTGAATATGCTTTCATTTTACTGGTTGAAGTAAGTGTAAAAAGCTAAGTGGGTACATATGATTTTGATGAAAATAGGTACATATTATTCTTACTGTCAATCTGGAATCACCACATGTTTTAATCACTGAATATTGATCATTACGTTTTGCATTATTTCTACATGCATCAAGAAACTTTTGATCTAGTTGGGTATGATTTCATTTTACCCTTTTGTGTAGTTGGAAAAAGTTATGTGGGTACATAAGGTTATGATGGATATGGGATTATTAGAACCTGTTAGTCATGCTTCAATAATAGATTGTGAATATGTAATAATCATGTATTTTTGGATGGATATGGTTTGCATTATATATTCAGTATGAATCAAGTTTCATATACTATTTTTACCTTTTTGTGTAGTTGAACAAAGTGCTTATTTGAATATGTTATTCAAGATTCTGAATCTATATGGTTAACATTATTACTAAATAAACAAGTTTAATTAACAGGTGTGTTAATCTGGGTTCACCATTCATATGACAATGTGTTGGCAAAATATTTTCATCAAATGTCATATACATTTCATAACGTCGAACATGCCAATAGCATAATGTTTAAASAAWCTAGAAAATTCAATACCAAAAGCAAGTTATTAAAACCGTCTACATGAGAAAAATATAAAAGAACATCAATCAATCAGATTCGAAGTCTCTCAGTCTTTGTATCGTCAACATGTTTTCTTAACTTTTTTCGGATGGCTTCATCCATTGATGGAAACTTCTCAACTTTCTTAACGACATATTCCTTCTTCTTGTTGTAGTTGCTCACCAATAATTTTGCTACATATTTCATTCTGAGGGAGGCTATTGGATCTCTTGTGTTTTTCCTTCTTATCCCAGGCCAGTTTTCCATGTCCGCACATCTCCCATGTACGTCTCCATGTGTCTCATTGGAAACACGCCACAATCATCGAAGTTGTTTTGTGTCTGCCAATCCATCCTCAACCTTTCTTGGCCTATTTCATCTAGTTCTCTCCCTACTGGATGTCCAACCGCATTCAAATGCCTGATCATCAATCTTTGCTACACAAACGGAATGAAATGGTTAACACATCGTATATCATATTCATAAAGAATACAATAATACATTAATATTTTATTCATACCAGAATGTCTGTAATGAAGTCATACATCTGTAGAAGTTGATCATCATCAGGCACCTCTTGATATATGTTGTCTATGACAACAACCGATGGGTTCTTCAGATTGAACACCACAAGATAATAGTGTCCCTTATCCAGTAATGGGAAGAATACCTATCATTTCATCAAGTTTTTATGTTCATTAACAGAATGTTACATTGCATAAAAATCAGCATGTTACAGTGCATTAACATAGAGTTTCATTAACAACATGTTACAGTTATATGAGCTTCATTATATGTTCATTAACATCATCTCACACAACATGTAACAGTGCATTTAGGTTCATTCAGAGCATGTTACTGTACATATAAAACTTGATGTAACATTATGTTAATAAAACCCGTTTCACCAAATGTGTGTCTAGATTCATGATAAAGTAATGGCTATGAATAACCCTTATGTAGTGTAATGATGAAACCAAATTCATCAGCTTATATATGAATCTAATTTCATTGGTAAACTTTATGTCATCATGTAAAGGCTTATAAAATGTACTGATGAAAATGTATGAGTATATGCGAATTAGCTAATGCTGTTTGCAATAGTGTATCAGATTCATTGATATGGGTGACTAAGTGCATATTGAATATGGTAGCAAAATACAGCGAAAACAATCTGAAATTGAAAAACATACCAGGTCTACATTACGCATTTGTACTACTTCCCAGTTGTTTTTCACAGAAGATAACAAACCCTTTTTGAAAAGTGCGTATTGGGTATTATGATTGATGCTCTTAGATCTTAGCTTAGAGTCTCCCTGTCATAAGCAACGATGTATTTATGGTTTATATTAAATAAGCCGTTAGACAAGGAAATAAATGATATTTAAAATATTTTCCTTCTCACGTACCATAACTTTCGTGTTAAAAAAATAACAATGCAAGGAATCCCTGTTCCGATACCGTTCCTCGTAGTTAAGCAATGTCGCCCATGCGTGTATCACACTTACGTAAATTGTAGTTGTACGCCCCAAGCTTCCAATTGCATGACGATGTAGCTTCGTATCGTTTGGTGTTGAAAACAACAACTCGCTGCATTTAAAACCGTCAAAATGATAAATAAAATATGAAGACGGATGCCATGGTGGTAATAATGCAACAAAGAAATTTTCATATAATAATAAACTTACTACAGCCCAGCCACTGCCCATTCATGGATTTTTCTTTCTTCTGGTGTCACGTTCAGGTCAACTGCTCTGATAACAAAAGGGGACCTGAGATGGTCACCCAACTTTAGTTCACGTCTTGTCGCTCACTCCACTTGATATTTCTTTGCATTTTCGGATACATTACATCTTTCCACTGAAGGACATCTTTCTATACATTCAGCCTCTTCATCGAATACCATTGACAAAGGTTCCGATTGCTTGATTGGACTAATACCCAAATCAAACTTTGGAGGAGTAATGGCTGCATATGGTCTTTACGTCTTTGACGTTGATATAGTATTTTCAAGTACTTTATCAACTGCTTCAATGAAACCAAGGCTTAACCAAATCTTGGGCAGTGGTTTTTCATTCAACCCACTTGGCTGACTTACAACAATATCCAATGAAGGTTGTCCATCATTTTTTGCAGTTGAATGATCCTTTAATCCACTGAAATGAGTGTCATGTGTCGTGTTACATGCTCCTTCATTGAACATGTCATACAACTGTTTCTTGTATTGCTTGAAATTTTCATCATCTGGAAACTTGGACATCGCTTCTTTAATCTCCATTTCAGCCTCCACTCTTGCACTTAAAACAACAACGATCTTAATAAGTATCCGTTGAACATGATCCTGCATTTGTTGACATTTAAATGTATTAGAAATTGCATAACTTAAAGTAATAAAATGAAACACGATTCACTACTATGCACCTGTGTTAACATGTTAACATGTTAAAGTAATAAAATCAAACATGTGTGCCTGTGTTAATATGTGCACCTGTGTTAACATGTTTCATTAACATATAAACAACTGTTACTTTTTAGGTAATGTTACTTCATATGTCTTATACGAATTGGATGAAACAGTTAGTAAACATACAACAGGTAGCACAGATTCACACATTATAGATATTAATGCAACAGGTAGCACAGGTAGCATGATTCAATAAATCAAACCCTCTATAAGTTGTCTGCCTATGTCAAACATGTGTGCCTATGTTAATATGTGCACTAGATAATGCATCTATTTTCATTGTTATGTTCCATAAATAGTTTAATAATAATGCACCTGTTTATGGAACAGTTTAACAAACCATAAACCTGTTTACAAAGGCTGTTTCATTAACATATAAACATGTTACTTTTTAGTTAATGTTACTTCATATGTATTATACGAATTGGATGAAACAGTTAGTAAACATCATGAAACATATCGACTATCTGTCAAACAGTTACCAATTAGTACAGTTATGTAGATTCATTTGAAAATTCTACTATTGAACATAAACAATTATTGTAGCTTTGTGAGAGTGAATACAAAAACATAGATCTAACCTCTTTATTCAAATGGGTTGGTGTTGACGTTTCACCGATATTCTTATGGTTTATATCTTCACTTGATTCAGAAGTAGACCGTATTGGTAATAGACCAAAACCTCCATCTTTTATCTCTAATGACTGTCTCTTCTTTAACAACTCAATGTTCCACCCCGAGAGTGCATGTGCCTTTTGTTCTACCACGACTGTGGGACTTATTGTAGATTCAACATATAGCAACTGCAAAATGAAATTGTTGGTTTGTTATGTAAACAGTTTTTACAATATCAGATATAAAGGAAACTTATAGTAAGGTATGTAAATGGTCTAGCATAGAAGCACATGGTACTCTCCCTTTTCCATCTTGACTTGCTTGTTTTTATTTTGGCGTATATGTACTTATGTTGGTCTCGTAAGGGTCTACAAGAATAGAAACAGTTTGTAGAAGGGGGGGGGGATGAATATAAACATAGTATTTTCAAATTTAAAATATATATTGATAGAGAAGATCAATACATATTTTACAAAACTGTTTGCAGAAAGATAAGGTAAAAAAAACCTATCTAAACAATCTTTGGTTACACACTGATCTTTAGCAAATACAAGAAAAGAGATTGCTAAAAGGAAGATCTTTAACTTAAGCTAGAAGATGCTTGAAGTAAGAAGAGGATAGCAGAGAGATGCACACACTCTGTATGGAGAAAAAACACTTCTATTTATACCCAGTGCATTAAATGAACATTTAATGCAATATGGTAGGTTTAGAGTGCATGTCAAGCCTTAAGAGGAAGGCTTGTCCTTTGCTACAGTGAATAGTACAAAAACACTATTTTTGAGCAGACTTCCTTGCCTAAAGTTGGTGGACAAAGAGTCGACTAATCGGCTCCGTACCGTACTAACTTTTGCAAGGGTATGGGTTTGTCCTTTGTGTACATAAGGATAAGACAACAACAATCGTGCTAAGCAAGCTTCCTTTGATCACTGAATGCTGGAATGATCTGAAAGTCTCATCATCATTCGCTAAAGCTAGAGTAGTCTTCACACATATGTAGTCAGGCTTGTAATCACTGAATACCGCTTCAGATCACGTACTCGCCAGTCTGTAATCTTCAGTTTCAGTCTTCGACGTTCGCTGAAGGTTCTTTGGTGT